ACGGGGCTAATAAATCGACTATTACGACAGTGTGAATTTGTATTATTTGGTGTTCGTTATTGGCTCGTTGGCAATGAATGGCTGCAGTTGCAATCATGTGTCCACTGTGAAAAGGGGCTGCTACTAGGAACTTAAAAGTATTAGTAGTGACGTGTTGTATGTTGGTCTTTATTTTTAAATTAAATCATGTAGTTGATATGTGGAAGATGGACGGAGTGTAGGTGCAACTTGACGATAAATGTCCGCCCGTGACGAGAACTTGTGCTGGCGACCTAGCAGGAGGTTCGTCCTGTGTATCTATATTTCAGTTTGACTGTGGCGAGTTCATAGCAGAATTATGTCGAAAATAAAAAGTAGTAGCTTTATAATGATGATGTAACTGCGTAGTCACTCACTGATGACGAGACAGCCCGTTCCCGCGGTAGATGGGGTTTCAACTTATACAGAATTTATACAACTTATTTATTTGACCGTCACAACACAACAATAAAAGAACTTCAAGGACAGTGCCCAGATATAGTTCTGCTACATGTTTCGGCCACTAGTGGCCATCATCAGGCAAACACACTTCAACAAACGTACACCACTGAACTGCAGTACCCAAAATTTGATACACTGTCATAAATCATTTAAGATAATTTGCAATAAGAATACAATAAGTAGGTTATTTAAAACCAATAAAAGTCATATATCAAAAACAAAATTAAAATTTGACTGATGTTTGTTAACATCGAATCAGTCGTTGGTTCCACTTTACATACATATCCGTCGACAAATAGTAAATTTCAATGTTTCATTATAAAATTGTATAGGAGGCCCAATAATTAATCTGAAAAAATATGATAAAAACAGTATTAGGTTTTGTTAAATTAATATTGGTTTTAATATTGAAATGTAGTATATAGTACATATAATCTGACATTAAAAGTTCGTCCAGTTTGTCCTGTATATTTTAAAGGACAGTCGGAACATAGTGGTTTATACACTCCACTAAATTATATATATCATTTTTGTTATCATTAATTTTCAGCAGATATTTTATATTGTTTCTAGTCTTAAATGAGATGCCAACAAACTGGACGAACTTTTAATGTCAGATTTAAGGAACACATACGTGATATAAAGAATAACGGACAAAGTTCCAAATTTGCCCAACACATATATGAAAGATTTTACATTTATGAAATTAGCAAGCAATGTTTGCAACTTAATGATAACTTTACAGAAATGTTTAATCCCATTTCCGATTTACACGTAGTAATTGATATACACAAAACGTAATATACAGCTATAACCTCTTCCCGCCCCCACCCCCCAACATCTCTTCCGCATTCCTACCTTCCCCCTCCCTCCCTTACCTTGACTATACCCTACACCACCAAATCAGTCGTTGTTTACCTTGTTTACCTCCCATACATTACGTACAATTCTCCGTATGAGGAGGCTCCAACTATTCCGTAAGTAATATATGTACTATATATTACATTTTCAATATTAAAACCAATATTAATTTAACATATTTTTTCAGATTAATTATTGGGCCTCCTATACAATTTTATAATGAAACATTGACATTTACTATTTGTCGACGGATACGTATGTAAAGTGGAACCAACGACTGATTCGATGTTAACAAACATCAGTCAAATTTTAATTTTGTTTTTGATATATGACTTTTATTGGTTTTAAATAACCTACTTATTGTATTCTTATTGCAAATTATCTTAAATGATTTATGACATTGTATCAAATTTTGCGTACTGCAGTTCAGTGGTGTACGTTTGTTGAAGTGTGTTTGCCTGATGACGGCCACTAGTGGCCGAAACATGTAGCAGAACTATATCTGGGCATTGTCCTTGAAGTTCTTTTATTGTTGTGTTGTGACGGTCAAATAAATAAGTTTTATATATTGTAACACAGCAGGATGCATGAAATGAAAAAAAATTAATACAGAATTGTTATAGGAAATTACATAAGTCCTGGTTCATTGTAGCTCAGGAGTTTTGTTTTATATCTATCTAACCAACTTCATTCATTCAAGAAATATCCAGAATTTTTTTGAACCCGAGGGTTCGTTACAGTTTTCACAAAATCCAACCACTGCTCCCTATCTTAAGGCTGATAAGTCCGTTTCATATCCTCATATCCTATGTATTCTAAATTCAGTTGAATATTGTCACGCAATGGAATTACTATAGAAGGGGTTTGGATTTGTAACTGGATTTATTGAACACTTATACACACAGTTCGTAACTAGAAGTAACTGTAATGCTATCAATAATTCACACAATCTGCAGCTCACTACAACAAATACTAAGTTTCTCAGTTCGCTGTGTCTTCACCAGTCGTTGTTCGGTAAAAGCTCCCAACGCTGTAGATCCCTCAATTTACGTGTTCACATTCTTACTGGACGGCAACTGTCTCACAGTTGACTAAATTCTTGACTTGTCATGTTTATAACACCTCGGCATGGAGCGCATAGATAGCGCCGCTTCCTGCGGTTCTATTGTTGCGTCGCATAGCTGTCGCAAGAACCTCGTAGAGAACACTACTTCCCATTTACTCTCTTGGTGCGTGTTGGGAATCTGTTGCCTATCAGTGGGCGTTGTTTACAGAGTCACTACTTAGCAACGGATCTACATGCTACGATATTATCGCCCCATACATGTATAGGGCTCCTTAGTGGCCTCTGGTCTTCGGGCCTTCCTACCAAATCTTTGCATGCATTTCGATTCTCTCCCATGAAATCTACATGCCCTACCACTCTCTTCCTCCTTGACTTGTTTACTCTAATAATATTGTGAGAGGAGTACAAATTACGAAGCTCCTCACTGTGATGTTTCCCCAGCCTCCTATTGTTTCCGCCGCTGTAGATCCTTATAACATCCTCAGCGCCCTGTGAGCATTTAGTATTTTAAGAATTAAAATACTGCTCCTGCTTGCTTTGTTATTTGCCTTTGGGCTGTTGGGTAAGCACGTAAATTAAAAAGTGCTAGAATTGATTTTGAAGAAATATTTTTCATGTATAGCTATAGATCCAGATTGTTTTTTTTTCAAACACCTCTACCTTATTTATACTGAAATCTCCTAATAATATTGTGACATGTTGCGCAACGGAGAACTCCCCCCCACCAGCAGTGACGCGGCTGGTGAGTCAGCGCTCCGTCATCCCCCCTCCGCACGGTGACGTAACGCGCAACGCGCGGTGACGTAAGACGGCGTGAGGTAACAGCGTTGCTACGTAACAGGCACACACAGCCCCTATATAAGAGATCTGCGCTGCCTGCGAGTTAGTTGTAATGTGGCCATCGCCGAGTTCAGTTCCGAGTTAGTTCCGAGCAAGCCTACGAGCGAGTGTGTTATCAACAGTTCTCAAGGCAACAGCCTGCAAGTTGAGTTGAAATATAGCAGCCGTCGCGGAAAGAAGTACCGGACGTGTGTATAACTGAGAATTAATTTGGAGTGTGTGATACAGGGACACTTACATAGCTCCCCTACTGTAAACGTGTAGACTACTGAAGACAGAGTGAACTGATTTGCGAATAGGGTTATAAATTGTGAAACCCCGCAACAGTGTAAACAGATTATTGCGATTAGGGTTATAAAGTGTGAAACCCCGCAACTGTGTGATAATTAATTGTAGCCGTTACTTGTAGGTTGTTGAATAAACCAATTAACAATCTCTACGGCGTTTTCAGTAACGAAACACGTTACAATTTTTATACATGTTATTTTGTATATTTATCGAATACTGTAGAGGCTGGTGTTTTTGTCGACTAACATGTATCCTCGGTTTGGCCACTCACATTCAGAAGAACATTAGCATGCCAATGCTTTATCGCCCTATAGCTAACATATTCTGCTTTATTAGTTGTCATAATCGGCGATACATAGCCTGTGCCTAATTGATTGTTCTCATTCCTGTATTGATAGAAAACGTATAATCATCTGTGGGTTCACTGCCCTTTCCTTGTCCCATCTGACTTCTTGCGTTCCAACTGTAATGGCGCAGATGTTATGTACAATTAGATATGTTTTTTTGGGGGGTAAATGTGGAATAAGTGTATCTAGACTTTTAGATTAAGAAATAGAAATAATGAAACGTACCAGGAAGCTTGGGTTTGCAAAGAAGTGTAACAGGCTGTAGCTTAGTAATC